AATCGCAATTAACGCGATAATTTGACACCCCTAATTAAACTACTACAGGCACTTCTAGCGGCCAGTAAAAAATCAATAACTAGGAAATGGCTAAATCCAACCCCCCCAACACTTGAGGACTGGTTTGGTGCAGTTTTAGAAATTTACAAAATGGAGAAATTGACATACACTCTAAGAGTAAAAAGGGACAAATTTTATAAGATTTGGGAAAAATTAATCCAGTTTGTTTCCCCCTTTTGGGCTGATTTTGATTGACTTTTTCTAAATGTACCAGGTCATGAGGTATGGATCCTCTGACTCCACCGTGTTCACCGAATTTGTTTCTTGAAGGGTTGAAATGTCTGGTAAATGCTTTCAAGTTGGCCACCTCACACTGTTTTTAGTTAGTTTGTTCCTTTTTAAAATTTGTATTATTATAATTTTTATTCACTTTTTGTTTTTGAAAAGGATCATCTAAAGATGTGAACCTTTTCTAATAAAAACATAAATGAAAAAAAAAAGAATTCTAGTAGCAGGGCTTGCCTCAAAAAAAAAAAAAAAAAAAAAAAAAAGTCCAGATGCCATCCCATATGGACCGGACAGGTTCATGTTCCTCCAATTGCAAAAAGTTTCTATGTTCCCTCCGTCCGTCCGTCCTCATCTCAACTTATCACCATGAACTCATAAAACAGCAGCAGTAGAACTTTGTACAAACTCACCACATCAGCCCAGAGCAGAAGAACTGAGGGAAACAGCAGCAACAGCACTAAAGACACAGGACACTGACTGTAGCGCGCAGACCCTCAAGACGGGGCTGGGGTCTGGTCCTTGGTCTGGTCCTTGGTCTGGTCCTTGGTCTTGTGTCGTCCTTCTGGCGCGTTGGTCAGATGGTCCAGAGGCTCCGTCCTCCATGTGCTGGTTCCAGACGGGAGCGAGCAAGACTAGAGCGCAGTAGACCGAGTCTAAGTGGTTCTGTGCAGTCGTCTGCGTGTTGGACCAGTGCGGTGAAAGTGAGAATGTGCTGTGGACTACAGGTCCGGACGAGCTGCTCTGATCTCCTGCGCTCGAGTTCTACGACCGGTTCCGAGGTGGTGCAGTATCCAGATACAAGCGTGGATCCAGTTTGCTTCATTATATGTTGTTCTGAGCGTCCGTCCTCCGTGTACTCGGTTCTTTCTGGGCAAAGTTCTTCTCAGACCGAGGCTCCTGACACCACTCCCCGCTCCAGCTCCTCTGAGCCCGACCTGAACCGGAGCTGCTCCTGCTGGTTCTGGACTCTGGTTTGGATCTAGTCTAACTGGAGCGTTTCTCACACGAGGTTAAATACAGTTCATTTTATAAGTTCCATCCATCCATCCATTTTCTTCCGCTTATCCGGGGCCGGGTCGCGGGGGCATCAGTCTAAGCAGGGACTCCCAAACTTCCTTCACCCCAGACACGTCCTCCAGCTCTTCCGGCGGGACATGCCCAGAACACCTCCCGAGGGAGGCGCCCAGGAGGCATCAGAACAGATGCCCGAGCCTCAACTGGCTCCTCTCGACGTGGAGGAGCAGCAGCTCTACTCCGAGCTCCTCCCGTGTGACTGAGCTCCTCACTCTATCTCTAAGGGAGACGCCCAGACCACCCTGCGGAGGAAACTCATTTCAAGCGCTTGTATCCACGATGTCCTTTCGGTCACTACCCAGAGCTCATGACCAGAGGTGAGAGGAGGAACGAAGACTGACCGGTAAATCGAGAGCTTCACCTTTCGGCTCAGCTCCTCTTCACCACAACGACCGATACAGCGACTGCATCACTGCCGAAGCTGCACCTGTCCACCTGTCAATCTCACGCTCCATCCTCCCCTCACTCGAGAACAAGACCCCGACATATTTGAACTCCTCCACTTGAGGCAGAGTCTCTCCACCCACCCGGAGAGGGCAAGACACCTTTTTCCGGTCGAGAACCATGGCCTCAGACTTAGAAGAGCTGATCCTCATCCTCATCTTCACACTCGGCTTCAAACTGCCCCAGAGCTGCAGGTCCTGGTTCGATGGAGCCAACATTTTATAAGTTGAATCAGTTGAATTGGGCCTATTCAGTTTAGTCTGTGTCTTTTTCTTTTTTCACATTTGAGTCTGTATCGCTCAACAGTTGGCAGATGGAGACCCCTGAATACTGACGAGTATTTGACACACTGACGGCAGCTCCACTTGATGAGTTTTGTTTGTTTTTTCTGTAAATAGTTGTCGTCTTGTGTCCTGTTCTATACGTTCACATTCGTGCACACATGAACAAACACTGAGTGTGTTTACAGAACATCAGTGTCCCGGGATGATCGGGTTTTTTGAACATCCTGGTTTCGTCATAGTGCAGGTAAACACAGAGTGCGTATACATGCACATCAATAACCCGGTTATGATCGGGTTTTTTGAGTATCCCGGTTTCTTGATGGTGCATGTAAACACAGTAACCCGGTTTCAGTATCCCGGTTATGGCAGTGTCCCGGTTATTAGAAACCGGGTTACTGTAGCTGGTTTATTCTGATAGTAACCAGGATACTTGTGGCATGTATACGCAGTATCCCGGTTACTGCAACATAAAGTTGAGTCACATGCGTCCAAAAGACACTTTCCAGTTTTTTCACCACAACAGTAGTGACATAAATAAATTGACCAACATAAATAAAGTGACCAAACGAGTGAAATGACTGTAAAATAAAGAGCTGCGCTAAACCTGCACATGTACAATCTGCACTCGTACGACCTGCACTCGTACGACCTGCACTCGTACGACCTGCACTCGTGTGACCTGCACTCGTACGACCTGCACTCGTGTGACGCTGAAAAGCTAAAACATGAACTATCTCCTATACTCTATATGCACGGAACACACTCACCATCATCAGCACCTCTTCTGTCACAGAAATAACACACATAATCCACAGAGTCGTGTCATTTAGTCCAAAAGAAACTGATCGCATCAGCGGCGCAAGGAGGAGCGAGTTGTTTTTTATCGCCGCTAACAGTTTATGCTAATTAGCCAAATGGTCTTAAGTTTCGTTTCTATAAAACATAAACAAATGTGATCAGAGCTGAATGATCTGATCAAACGGGCTGATGTGTCTATAGTGTTTATGGTTTATATGTTGTAAAGTTGAGTTTATTTATGCAGAAGATTTTAATGAAGAATCTGCACAGTGGATTGTGGGAGATCTCGTAGCTCCTTAGCTTCTTATGCTAAAGGAGCTCACGGTTTGTATTTTTCCTGGTTTATTAAATCGATTTTTTAATTTTTGCGCCTGCGCATTTGTAAGATTATGTCAAGAAACCGGGATACTCCATTTGATCATGTACACGCGGATATGAGTGTCCCGGTTTCTCAGTGCGCATGTAAACACAGTAACACGAATACTGACAGAACCGGGATATGGCTAATAACCGGGTTACTGATGTGCATGTATACACACTCACAGTTTCCCAGTTTGAGTATCTGAGCTGTGTTGGAAAGTTCATTTTCTACATGAATGAAATGGAAAGTTTTTCTGCTAAATATTACAAGCTCTTTACTGTGTGGTTACACGAGTTTTTGACCTTAAACACTGAGAAAATTTGGTCCTGATTTAACATAATTAAGGCGACATTTATATGATGAGGGTCTGAACAGAAAACGCAAAAGTGTCGTCGCGTCTTCACTTTTTATTCTGCATTTAGACGAGAGTTTTCAGGAGGAAATCTGCTGCACACGACCTGAGCACACATGACCAGACTTTTGTGTCTTGTGTCTTCACAGACTCCACAATAAACGTTCTTTGTCACGGTTCGTTCATCAGGCAGTGCAAAAGTTACGTTCAGTTCACGTTCGTCCAAAATACAGACACGGAATTTAGCATTTTAGTGATGAAAGACTTAAATACTCTGAACCAGTTGGACGGAGAATCGTAACGTCGACGTATTTCAAAAAAGTCATGTCAAAAAAGTTTAAAGATGGTCCCGAAAACTCAAGAAAAAACACAAAAGTGATTTAAAGAGCACATTTCCTTTTCCTGTGATCAGGTCGAGAGTTTGTGGTCGTGTTCAGGAGTTTGATTTTACACTAAAAGGTGAAAGTGACTCAGTGTAGTTCAGATAAGTTCGTTCTTTGGTCAGATTTTCAGTTCTTTGGGCAGATTTTTGGTTCTTTGGAAACATTTTGGGTTCTTTGCTCAGATTTTTGGTTCTTTTGGAAACATTTCTGGGGTTCTTTGGTCAGATTTTGGTTCTTTATTCAGATTTTTTGGTTCTTTTGGTCACATTTTTGATTCTTTTAATCAGATTTTTGGGGGGTTTTTGGTCAGATTTTTTTGGTTCTTTAGTCAGATTTTTGTTTTTTTGGTCCACTTTTTGGTTCTTTTGGTCAGATTTTTTGGTTCTTTAATCAGATTTTTGGTTCTTTGATCAGATTTTTTGGTTCTTCAGTGAGATTTTAGTTTTTGTTTTTTTGGTCAGATTTTTGGATCTTTAGTCAGATTTTGGGGGGGGGTTTGTCAGATTTTTGGTTCTTTTGTTCAGATTTTTTGGTTCTTTGGTCACATTTTTGGTTCTTTTGGTCAGCTTTTTGGTTCTTTGGTCAGATTTTTGTTTTTTTGGTCAGATTTTTTGGTTCTTTTGGTCAGTTATTGGTTCTTTAGTCAGATTTTGTTTGGGTTTTTTTGGTCAGATTTTGATTCTTTGGTCAGATTTTTTGGTTCTTTGGTCAGATTTTTGTGTTTTTTGGTCAGATTTTTTTGGTTCTTTGGTCAGATTTTTGGTTCTTTGGTCAGTTGTTGGTTCTTTAGTCAGATTTTTTTTTTTTTTTTTGTCAGATTATTGGTTCTTTGGTCAGATTATTGGTTCTTTGGTCAGATTGTTTGGTTCTTTGGTCAGGTCGTGTTTGTGTTTGTTTTGGTCAGACTGGAGTGTGTGACAGATGTTGAGACAGAGCAGTGCGTCATGTTAGCGTGGGGGTGTGGGGGGCGTGTGGGGCGGGGCGGGGCAGAGCGGTGCATTGTGGGAGGTTTTTACCTTGTACATGTCTTCGTATTTGAGGAACAGGACGTTTGAGTCTGAACGATGCTCCCAGAACTCCTGCACATGATCGAACCACGAACCATAACCCACTGAAACACACAGAGAAAGACTGGGACTAGACCAGGACCAGGACCACACCAGGACCGGGTCTAGACCAGGACCAGGACCACACCAGGACCAGGACTAGACCAGGACCAGGACCAGACCAGGACCAGGACCAGGACCAGGACTGGACTAGACTGGACCAGGACTAGACTGGGACTAGACCAGGACGAGACCAGACCGTACCAGACTAGGACTAGACCAGGACCAGAACAGACCGGGACTAGACCAGACCGGGACTAGACCAGGACTAAAACAAGACTAGACCAGACCGGGACTAGACCAGACCGGGACCAGACCAGGAATAGACTAGGGCCAGACTGGGACCAGGACTGGACCAGGACTAAAACAGGTCTAGACCAGACCGGGACCAGGACTGGACCAGGACTAAAACAGGATTAGACCAGACCGGGACCAGACCAAGACTAGACCAGGACCAGGAATGGACTAGGGCCAGACCAGACCGGGACCAGGACTGGACCAGGACTAAAACAGGACTAGACCGGGACCGGGAACAGACTGGGACTGGACCAGGACTAAAGCAAGACCAAATCAGGACTAAAGAAAGACTAGACTAGAACTAAAGAAGGACTAGACCAGGTCTAAAGAAGGACTAACGAAGGACTAAAAAAAGGACTAAACAAGAACTAAAGAAGGACTAAAGACTAAAAAAGGATTAAAGAAGAACTAGACCAGCACTAAACCAGGACTGAACCAGGTCTAAACCAGAACTAAATCCTGGACTTACGTTTGTCGTTCATGAAGCGTCGGCAGAACTCCTGGAAGGTTCCTCTGTAGCTCATGGTCCGGAGCGAGCGGTGGAACTGGTAATACGACACCACCAGGTCTTTGGGGTTACGAGCCATGTAGATCACCTGAGGACAACACAGGTCAACCCGGTCCTGGTCTAGTCCTGGTTTAGTCCTGGTCTGGTCCAGTCCCGGTCCTGGTCCTGGTCCTCACCTTGCCCTCTCCCTGGTGCATGGCCGTGGGGAGGAAACGATACGGCAGGTGACTCTTGATCAGACGAGGAGAAGTCAACTCCTGAAAACAAACACAAGAACCAGAACTGAACCAGGTCTAAACCAGGTCTAAACCAGGACTGAACCAGGACTGAAACAGGACCTGGGTTAACCAGGACTTAATTTAGAAAACAGAAAACAATATGTACAACTCAACAACACGGAGTCAGAAAGGTATGATATCAAATGAGGTGTGCCTCAAGGCTCGATTCTTGGGCCCAAATTATTTATATTATACATGAATGATTTTGTTAAAGTTTCTGAGTTTGGGAAAATTCTATTTGCTGATGATAGAACATTATTTTACTCTGGAAAAGACATAAAAGACGTCACAAGTAAAGTTAACAAAGAGCTAAGAAAAGTAAAATATTAGTTTGATTTAAATGGATTGATTCTGAATGTTAAAAAAAATACCTTTCATTTTATTTAATGATAAAAAGAAAAAAGACAACATAACATTAGAAATAGATGGATACAGATTCAAAGAGTTAATGAAACCAAATTTTTAGGAGTTATGATTGATGAAGGTCTAAACTGGAGTTTGTCTCATAAATTACACAAAAGGCAACATTTCCAAAGCCATTGCTGTTCTGCATAAAGTAAAGTTCTCACTAAATAGTACAGCATTATTAACTTTGTATAACTCTGTAATTGTACCAGATCTGATGCACTGTGTGGAAATTTGGGGGTCAACATGTAAAACTCACCTACAGACTTTATTTATTTTACAAAACAGGGCCTTGAGAATTACCACCAACAGTCATTATAAACAGACATCCAACCCAATATTTGTTCAACTTAAAGTGTTGAAAATGCAGGATATTGTCGACTTAAGTCTCCTCAAAGTCATGTGTAAAGCAAAGTGCAAAGTATTACCTGAAAATATTCAAAGTCTGTTTGAGATGTACGACCATAAATGAAAACAAAAAATCCTTACATTTTTCATTCTCATTGGAGTTTATTTTATATGATCATAAATGATAAACTTTGTGCCTAGATTAACATTATTATTAGTTTGTACGACTACAAACAGAAATGTTTCTGCATGTGTGTATATGTTGTTATACATGTGTGTGTAAACATTTATATTGAGTATATGTACTGGATATTTATGATCTGTATATGTATGTTTGTATGTACATATGTGTGTGTACTTGCACATGTATGTAACTATATATATATATATATATATATATATATATATATATATATATGGAAGGTGCATCATGGTGCCTGTGGTGATCGGACACTCGGGGCTGTAACCCCCAAACTGGTTACAACAGATACCGGACATCTCAGTCAGAAAAAGTGCAGTGCGCAGAACTTCAGAAATCTGAGAGAGAAAAAAGGTAAAATTTTTTTTTTTTTTATATATATATATATTGCAAATGACAGGTTAGCACTCCAAAGGTGATTAAAATTTAAAAAGAATAATGTAAAACAGTTGGGTAGGAATCTATATAAGTTTTTAAACTTCATCCTGCTCCTTCTGAGCACCAGGTCCCAAATATGTTCATGTACATTTCAATATTTTTGTTATTGTTTTTGAATTTTGTTGTACCTGACTCAAACAAACAAATAAATGAATGAATGAATGAGATGAGAACAAATCACAACAATTTAAAAGGAACCTACATGTTTTTAAAAAACCCAGATTCAGAACCGAGGTTATGGAGCGAAGTGTCGCTGTGAAAGAAGTGAACTTATGGAAGAGTCTTGACAAAGAAACAAAAGAATCAAGTACAATGACGACATTTAAAAAATACATAAAATCAAATGCACTGTGTCTGTATGAAAGAGAAAACTAAGCTGTTGTGTATAATAATGAAGATTTACTGTTTACAATTGATCAATAATTGTGCCTGAACTGATTTGGAATGTTTCGTGATGATCAGTGTTGATGTTTTGTCTTGAAAAAGGGAAAAGGGGGGCAGAGAACATAAGATTTTTTCTTCTTTCTGCTCCTTTTCATTCATTTTTTGTGTGTCTGATGTTGTGACACTGTTGATGTCTTTTTATGCTTTATGAATGAAATAAGTAAATAAATAATAAATAAATAACCAGGACTGAACCAGGACAAAACTAAGACTAAACCAGGACTAAACTAAGACTAAACCAGGACTAAACCAGGTCTAAACCAGGTCTAAACCAGGACTAAACCCTGGACCTGGACTCACCTGGATGATGTCGAGTCCGGGTTGGGGATATTCTAACACTGGGAGCTGCTCGTCGATGTTCATGAGTCCGATCTCGTCTGGATCTGCTCCCTGACTCACCAGATACACCACCTCCTGCAGCAGACTGGTGCCTACAGACACAGAAGAGTCAGATGCCCTCCCACAACCACGACACCTCCTGCACCTGTCCACCTGTCCACCTGTCAATCTCACGCTCCGTCCTCCCCTCACTCCAGAACAAGACCCCGAGACACGAGGCAGCGCCAGACTGGGTACAGTGGAAATGAACTCCTCTACCCTCCAGGACTAAACCAGATCAGGACTAAACCAGGACTGAACCAGGACTAAACCAGGACTAAACCAGGACTAAACCAGGACTAAACCAGGACTAAACCAGGACTAAACCAGGACTAAACCAGGACTAAACCAGGACTAAACCAGGACTAAACCAAGGACTAAACCAGGACTAAACCAGGACTAAACCAGGACTAAACCAGGACTGAAAACCAGGACTAAACCAGGACTAAACCAGGACTAAACTAAACCAGGACTAAACCAGGACTGAACCAGGACTAAACCAGGACTAAATCAGGACTAAACCAGGACTAAATCCATCACTCAACCGTTGCGTAAGTTTTTCTGTTTTGACGCTGGAGCTGAGACTCCCTCGCGCACGCACGCACGCACGCACGTACCGGACTTTGGGTACGTGACGATCCAGATGTCGCTGCTCCTGAGGCCGAAGCTCCGGATCTCGTCCATCTTCCCGCGGCAGAAGGGCGGGAGCCGGACCCCCTCGAAGTCGAAGTATCGGCTCTCGTACTCGATGGGGGTGCTCGGCGTGCCGGCCTCGCTCTCCGCCATGTCCGCGGCCCGCAGCGGCTCTACCGGCTCACGAACACCGCGGGTCCACCGGGTCGGGACTGCGGGACTGCGGGTCACACCGGTTCGGGACTGCGGGTCACACCGGTTCGGGACTGCGGGAGGAGGAAGCGCGAGCGTCGGCGTTGGCGCGGAGCGGGACGCGGGAGGGGGAGGGGGAGGAGGAGGAGGCGGCCAATCAGAGCGCGCGGAGGTGATGTAATGGGACGCGCGCTCACGAGAGAAGCAGCATCAGGACCGGAGCGCGCGCGACCGGGAGGGAAGGTGAACGTGACGCAAGGACGAGCGCGAGCACGTCAAATAAAAACAAAAGATAAAATAAAATAAAAATAAAAACGTGATCAGGACTAAAACAGGACCAAACCAGGACTAAACCAGGACTAAACGAGAACTAAACCAGGTCTAGACCAGGACTAAATCAGGACTAAACCAGAACTAGATGAGGACTAAATCAGGACTGAACGAGGTCTAAACCAGGACTAAACGAGAACTAAACCAGGACTAAACGAGAACTAAACCAGGACTAACCTAGGACTGAACCAGGACTAAACTAGGACTGAACTAGAACTAAAACCAGGACTAAATCAGGACTAAACTAGAACTAAACCAGGACTAAACCAGGACTAAACCAGGGACTAAAGGAAACCAGGACTAGACCAGGACTAAACCAGGACTAGACTAAACCAGGACTGAACCAAAACTAGACCAGGACCAGGAGAGAAAAAAAAAAAAGCACTGAATAAATTCCATCCATCCAAAAAAAAAAAAAAAAAGACATTAGTTTGTGTTTCCTTGTCTTTCTGCTAATGTCGATTCACTTTAACTGTACAAGAGCAGAAAACAAAAAATACAATTTACATCCAAATTTAGTACAATGTTCTTTTCTTTTCTTTCCACTCTGTAAGAACAGTTTCAGTTTCATTGTTCTTGGTAAATAAAACCGTGACTATTTATAAATGATGTTTATTGTCTTGCTCTGGATTTAGTGTCAGTCTCAGTCTCACCTCATCACCTCTGGTCATGACCCGAAGGACCAGATCCACGATACAAGAGACACAAGCGTCTCCCTTCGAGACAGAGTGAGGAGCTCAGTCACGCAGGAGGAGCTCGGAGTAGAGCCGCTGCTCCTCCACGTGGAGAGGAGCGTCTGAGGGGAGGACGTCTGGTCTGATGTCTCCTGGACGTGTCCCTCAGGAGGTGTTCATGTCCCAACGGGAGGAGGAACTAAACCAGGACTAAACCAGGACTAAATCAGGACTAAACCAAGACTAAAACCAAGACTAAACCAAGGACTAAACCAAGACTAAACCAAGACTAAACCAGAACTAAACCAGAACTAAACCAGGACTAAACCAAGACTAAACCAGGACTAAACCAAGACTAAACCAAGACTAAACCAAAGACTAAACCAGAACTAAACCAGGACTAAACCAGACTAAACAAGGACTGAACCAAAGACTAAACCAAGACTAAACCAGAACTAAACCAGAACTAAACCAGGACTAAACCAAGACTAAACCAAGACTAAACCAGGACTAAACCAGAACTAAACCAAGACTAAACCAAGACTAAACCAGAACTAAACCAGGACTAAATCAGGACTAAACCAAGACTAAACCAAGACTAAACCAGAACTAAACCAGGACTAAATCAGGACTAAACCAAGACTAAACCAAGACTAAACCAAGACTAAACCAGAACTAAACCAGGACTAAACCAGAACTAAACCAAGACTAAACTAAACCAAGACTAAACCAGAAAACTAAACCAGACTAAACCAGGACTAAATCAGGACTAAACCAAGACTAAACCAAGACTAAACTAAACCAGGACTAAACCAGGACTAAATCAGGACTAAACCAAGACTAAACCAAGACTAAACCAGAACTAAACCAGGACTAAACCAGGACTAAACCAAGACTAAACCAAGACTAAACCAGAACTAAACCAGGACTAAACCAAGACTAAACCAGGACTAAACCAGGACTAAACCAGGACTAAACCAAGACTAAACCAAGACTAAACCAGAACTAAACCAGGTCTAAACCAGGACTAAACCAGGTCTAAACCAGGACTAAACCAGGACTAAACCAGGACTAAACCAGGACTAAACCAGACTAAACCAAGACTAAACCAGAACTAAACCAGGACTAAACCAGGACTAAACCAAGACTAAACCAGGACTAAACCAGAACTAAACCAGGACTAAACCAAGACTAAACCAAGACTAAACCAGAACTAAACCAGGACTAAACCAGGACTAAACCAGGACTAAACCAGGACTGAACCAGGACTAAACCAAAACTTAACCAGGACTAAACCAAGACTAGACCAGGACTAAACCAGGACTGAATCTGGCCTAAATAGGAGGACCAGGACACACTGGAGGGACTATGTCTCTGGACTGGCCTGGGAACACCTCGAGGTCCCCCTGGAGGAGCTGGAGGAAGTGTCTGGGGTGAAGGAAGTCTGGGAGTCTCTGTTTAGACTGATGCTCCCTCATTTACAAAACTTCATTACATTAAATAAAAACTCTGTGACCACAGATTATGAATCTACATTATGAATCTACATTATGAATCTACATTATGAATCTACATTATGAATCTACATTATGAACCTACATTATGAATCTACATTATGAATCTACATTATGAATCTACATTATGAATACATTATGAACTACATTATGAATTATGAATCTACATTATGAATCTACATTATGAACCTACATTATGAATCTACATTATGAATCTACATTATGAACTACATTATGAATCTACATTATGAACCTACATTATGAATCTACATTATGAATCTACATTATGAACACATTATGAATCTACATTATGAATCTACATTATGAACCTACATTATGAATCTACATTATGAATCTACATTATGAACCTACATTATGAACCTACATTATGAATCTACATTATGAATCTACATTATGAATCTACATTATGAACCTACATTATGAATCTACATTATGAATCTACATTATGAACCTACATTATGAATCTACATTATGAATCTACATTATGAATCTACATTATGAATCTACATTATGAATCTACATTATGAACCTACATTATGAACCTACATTATGAATCTACATTATGAATCTACATTATGAATCTACATTATGAATCTACATTATGAACCTACATTATGAATTTACATTATGAAACCTACATTATGAATTACATTATGAACCTACATTATGAATCTACATTATGAATCTACATTATGAATTTACATTATGAACCTACATTATGAATCTACATTATGAATCTACATTATGAACCTACATTATGAATCTACATTATGAATCTAATTATGAATCTACATTATGAACCTACATTATGAATCTACATTATGAACTACATTATGAATCTACATTATGAATCTACATTATGAATCTTACATTATGAACCTACATTATGAATCTACATTATGAATCTACATTATGAACCTACATTATGAATCTACATTATGAATCTACATTATGAATCTACATTATGAACCTACATTATGAATCATTATGAACCTACATTATGAATCTACATTAGAATCTACATTATGAATTTACATTATGAACCTACATTATGAATCTACATTATGAATCTACATTATGAACCTACATTATGAACCTACATTATGAATCTACATTATGAATCTACATTATGAATCTACATTACATTATGAACCTACATTATGAATCTACATTATGAACATTATGAACCTACATTATGAACCTACATTATGAATCTACATTATGAATCTACATTATGAATCTACATTATGAATCTACATTATGAATCTACATTATGAACTACATTATGAACCTACATTATGAATCTACATTATGAACCTACATTATGAATCTACATTATGAACCTACATTATGAATCTACATTATGAATCTACATTATGAAACCTACATTATGAATCTAACATTATGAACCTACATTATGAATCTACATTATGAACCTACATTATGAATCTACATTATGAATCTACATTATGAACATTACATTATGAATCTACATTATGAACCTACATTATGAAATCTACATTATGAACCTACATTATGAATCTACATTATGAAACCTACATTATGAATCTACATTATGAAACCTACATTATGAATCTACATTATGAATCTACATTATGAATCTACATTATGAACCTACATTATGAACCTACATTATGAATCTACATTATGAATCTACATTATGAATCTACATTATGAATCTACATTATGAATCTACATTATGAATCTACATTATGAACCTACATTATGAATCTACATTATGAATCTACATTATGAATCTACATTATGAATCTACATTATGAACCTACATTATGAATCTACATTATGAACCTACATTATGAATCTACATTATGAACCTACATTATGAACCTACATTATGAATCTACATTATGAATCTACATTATGAATCTACATTATGAATCTACATTATGAACCTACATTATGAATCTACATTACATTATGAATCTACATTATGAATTTACATTATGAACCTACATTATGAACCTACATTATGAATCTACATTATGAATCTACATTATGAATTTTACATTATGAATCTACATTATGAATCTACATTATGAACCTACATTATGAACTACATTATGAACCTACATTATGAATCTACATTATGAATCTACATTATGAATCTCTACATTATGAATCTACATTATGAATCTACATTATGAATTTACATTATGAACCTACATTATGAATCTACATTATGAACCTTACATTATGAATCTTACATTATGAACCTACATTATGAATCTACATATGAATCTACATTATGAACCTACATTATGAATCTACATTATGAATCTACATTATGACCTACATTATGAATCTACATTATGAACCTACATTATGAATCTACATTATGAATCTACATTATGAACCTACATTATGAATCTACATTATGAAT